ACACGACCGGCAGCTCCGCCCAGCAACAGCACACGATGGCCAACGCGGCTGTCGCCTCCAACTCCCCCGCCATCAACGGCACCGCGCCCGTGAAGACCAGCAACAAGTCGCGCGGCCAGCTCAAGCGGCTCAAGAAGAAGGCAAAGGTTATGGCGAATGGCGAGCAGGCGGACAAGCAGGCAGACCGGGATGACCGCCCGCTCGAGCGGCCTCCGACTCAGGTGCGCTGGCCTTGCACTCTCGCTCGCCCACATGTGGGCGCTGCGGACGACCTCGCTGACGTTGGCGAGTCCCTGCAGGAACCCGAGTCGGCCGACGAGGACGTTAAGGTCAAGCTCGAGGAGGACGGCGCTGGGTCAGGCATCCCCGACGCCTTTGCCCATGTCTTTGCGCACTTCCAGATCCCTGCAGACGCAGTCAAGGTGAGCAGGCGGTTAATACAGCAGCCACGAGATTGTAGGCTAACCACGGAACTTTGGCAGACGGAGGATGGCCGCGACGGCGCGACAGACGAGAAGGGCCAGGTCATCTACTCGGACGACGAGATGCCTTCGGAGGACGACGAGGAGCCCGCAGAGCTCTCGAAGCGCAAGCAGCGTAAGGCGAACCGCCTCTCGGTCGCCGAGCTCAAGCGCCTCGTCAAGAAACCCGAAGTCGTCGAGTGGGTGGACGTCTCTGCGTCCGACCCAAAGCTCCTTGTCCAGATCAAAAGCCATCGCAACACCATCCCCGTCCCGCCACACTGGAGCCAGAAGAGGGATTACCTCCAGGGCAAGCGCGGTCTCGAGAAGCCCGCGTTCCAGCTCCCCAGTACGTCCGCTTCCCGAAGCTCTTCTCCTCGGTGGTGCTTACGCGCTTGTACTCTCAGGCTTCATCGCGGACACCGGCATCGCCACCCAGCGAGACGCCGTGAAGGAGAAGGAAGAGGGGCAGTCGCTGAAGCAAAAGACGCGCGAACGCGTCCAGCCGAAGATGGGCAAGATCGACATCGACTATCAGAAGCTCCACGACGCCTTCTTCAAGTACCAGACCAAGCCCAAGATGACCGAGTTTGGCGAGGTGTGAGTTTGCCGTTTCTCGCCCGTTGCGCCAAGTCTGGGGGTTGACCCGGCTCGACTCCATCGCAGATACTACGAGGGCAAGGAGTACGAGACAAAGCTGAAGGAGAAGAAGCCCGGCGAGCTTTCGGACGAGCTGAAGGAGGCGCTGTCGATTCCGCCTCTCGCGCCGCCGCCTTGGCTCATCAGCATGCAGCGCTACGGCCCGCCGCCAAGCTATCCCAATCTGCGGATCCCTGGTCTGAACGCGCCGATTCCTGAAGGGTGCGTTCGACTTCCACTACCTTCAAAGTTGTGCGAGCTGACCAGCCCTTCTGAGCAGCGCTGCATGGGGCTTCCACCCTGGAGGATGGGGCAAGCCGCCGCTCGACGAGTACGGCCGACCACTGTACGGCGACATCTACGGCGTCGCACCTCGACAGGATGCGAATCAGCCGGGCGAGCCGATCGAGCGCGAACCTTGGGGCGAGCTTGAGCCGGATGAGGAGGGTGCGTGCCGCTCGCTTGCCGATCACGAGTATTCGATGCTGACTCTAAACATCTTGCAGTATCGGAGGAAGAGGAGGAGGAAGAGGAAGAAGAGGAGGAGGAGGAAGAACAGGCGGCACCGGCGGACGGTCTGCAGACGCCCTCTGGTCTCGAGACACCTTCCGGCCTGGCGTCGGTCACATCGACAGTACCAGGCGGACTCGAGACACCCGATTTCCTCGAACTGCGGAAGCGGCGCGAGGAGACGGAGCAGTCCGAGGTCGACACTGGCCCGAAGCAGCTGTATCAGGTCGTGCCCGAGCGCGAGGCGCGCATGCGCGGCTTCATGGGGTCCGACAGGGTGTACGACGTCTCGTCGCTTGGCAACGCGGCGCCGCCACCGGTTCTGGGGCAGGAGGAGCGCGGGACGAAGCGCAAGGCTGGCGGAGTCGATGTCGCGCTCGATGCGGCCGATCTCGAGGGCCTGTCGGAGGCGGACTTGAGGGCGCGATACGAGCAGGCGACGAAGGCCGGCAGGACGCACCACGAGGACTTTTCCGACTTTGTCGGCGAGGAGGTGGCCAAGCGAAGGCGGATCGTCGAGAAGAAGAAGAGCGATTCGGCGAAGGAGAAGTTCAAGTTCTAGCTCTGCCATTGCAACCCTTGTTGTCACACGCTCGCTGCTGTGCGAAGAGCGAGACTCGGAAAGATCGCTTCCGGCGGACCTTCTCCTCGTCGCTCACCTCAGCTTGTGCACCCGCTCGCCCAGGATGTTCCGCGCTTCGCTCCGAGCTGTGCCGCGATCTCTTCCGGCTCGCTCGTACCGGCAGCAGCTCCGTACGGCGACCACGTCGACCGCCCAGCGCCGCTTCGCCGTCTACCAGTCCCAGACGACCAACTCGTTCGTGTACGCCTCGGTGGGACTCGCGGCATTGCTCGGATGGACGGCGGCTATCCTCACGGTTGGCGGACGGGGCAGCAAGCACGGCAAGAAGGACGCGCATGCGGCGAAGAAGGGTGAGCGCTTTCATCTCTTCGAAGGTCGCGGAGGCTTTGGGGGGCTGGGCTTTGGACGCGGTGGCGTACTCGATCCTCTCTCGCACCGGATGTACTGGTTCGGAGTGCGCCTGAGCCAGTCTGGCCTTTCGCTCGCTTCGGCAGACGATCGGGGCAGTTCGTTTCAACGACTCGCTGACGCCCTCACTTGCTATCGCAGGCGCCGACGCACCTGTAGCAGAAACGGCGACACCACAGCCTGATGCGGCGGCGGCACCGTCCGCGGAAGAGGGTCAAGCAGCATCGCAGTCCGCCGCTTTCAACCCCGAAACTGGCGAGATCAACTGGGACTGCCCGTGCCTCGGCGGCATGGCAGACGGACCGTGCGGCGAGGAGTTCAAGGCGGCGTTCTCGTGCTTCGTCTACAGCGAGGCCGAGCCAAAGGGCATCAACTGCGTCGAGAAGTTCCGGCACATGCAAGAGTGCTTCCGCAAGCACCCTGACATCTACGGCGACGGTGCGTGGCCTCGCTTGCTATCTGACACGCTCTGTGCTGACTCTAGACGCTCTCTTACCCCAGAGGACGACGACTTGCACGAGGAGGAGGAGGACTTTGACCTTGTGTCGCGGGCAGAGGCGGCGTTGGCGTTGCCGGACCAACACTTCTTGGAGGAGGCTGCAAAGGAGGCTCCGACACGGAAGGAGGCGGAGGCTGCGTCGACGCTCGAGTAGAAGGGCAGGGCAGATTAGAGCTCGTGTACTGCAGCACCATTCGCAACTCAGCCTCGGCTACGAGTGTGTCACGGTTAGACAGCGACAAGGAGTCAAGCAGAGCGTTACAAGTGAAATGATGTACAAGTACAGGGATAAATACGGCGGCAGGCGTGAAGGAAGCATCCCAAGGAATACAAAGTTCTCCGCCTCGTCTTCACAGCCGTGCTCCAGCTCCGCCCTTGACTGGTCCGGCTTCTCCTGGTCATGCTACACCTCAGATGGACTGTCTGCCACCAAGTAGATGCGCGCGGTGCGTATCGACGTTCGCAGGCACGAGATTCTTGTAGTTGTTCTCGCGAATGACGCGCTCGAGTTCGATGCGGCGTTGGACCGTGGAGAGGCGTGCACGAGCTGTCGCAAGGACCGTGCTGGCGCTGTCCACCTCGCGATCGGCTGCATAGGCAGCTAGGTACTGTGCCCACCTGTCGCGGGAGAGTGCATCGAGGCGAGACTCGGCGGACTTGACGGCTTGCTCGTGGACGGCCAGCTCGCCTTCGGCGCCCTCGCACTCCTGCCTCAGCCGCTTGAGGAGGGCTTCGGTGGTACGCTCCAGCTTCTTCGTGCGACCTGACTTGGCCGCCTCGGAGTCGGATGGCACCCTGTCTTCGTCCTCCCTGCGTCGCTTGTGTGAGCCGAATCCCGAGTAGCCGCTCTTGCTCCCTGAAGCCTGATCGTTCCCCCGCTCGAAGCCGCTCCCGCTGCTGCCATAGCCTTCGTTGCAGCCCTCCGCCCGCAATAACAGGCGAGATAGTATAGTGGTTAGTACAGTCGGTTCTGACGCATTCGTTTCCGACTAACCTGGGTTCGATCCCCAGTCACGCCTAGCTTTTTGCTCCGGGCGCTTCTGACATGCCTCACTAGCTCGCAGATCAAGTCAAAAATCGGAATGTGGCTTTTCGGCTCCTGAGCGGGTGGAGGGCAAGGAGCAGACCAATTCCTGAGCAGTGGCGCTCCTTGCTGGCAGCCGGTCGACCCCGGTCCACTGTAGGGTTGTAAACGCATTTTGTGACCCACCTCGACAAGCTCGGTTGATCTAGTTGGTTATGATGCGGACCTAATACTTCTGTGTTTAGTCCGATGTCGGCGGTTCGATCCCGCCACTGAGCAGCTCTTTCTTTTGTTGCAGCCAAGCGTCTGCACAAGCTTATTTTTGCTTGTCTCGTGCCAGCCGCATGGGTAGAAATAGAGATAAATTGGCTTAACTTCCAGCAGTGTAGAGCAGACAGAAGCAACAAAGCAGAGTGAGGGATAACAAGTTGACAGGTGGGATGCATGACGAACAGATCTGTGACAGTGAGCAAGCTTGTGACTGGCCGGAGGCTTGAAGAGTCCTCGGAGACGAAGTCCGCGCATACAACAAGTGGAAACAAAGAGAGACTATCGAAGTGGGTATCAAACCGTCACAGAGAGGCTCCTAAGCAATCCACCGCGAAGACTTATCCTTCTTCTGCCGCTCAACTCCTCCCCAACACCATGCCATAGTTCTCTAGCTTGCGCCACACAGTCCAATCACCTTCCTCACCTGCCATTTGAGAAGGCTTGCAATACACTCAAGCTGCTGCTGTCTAGCAGACACAGCTATAAAGTCATCACAGCCATTGGCCAGCTTCTCTACACTCCCCTCTTCCAAATGACCAAATCTCAAGGATTACAGCTGCGTCAGCCCTTCCTTCCTCGTGGCTATGTCCTTGAAATGTTGGCGGCAATCAACTACGCAGAGCTGTAAGGCTAAACATAGGTATCCAATCTCTTGATCAATTAATATGTCTGACTGATTGGTTCTGCACTTTTTAGCGTGCTTTGGCGTTACACCGGCCTCTCAAGGTCATGATGGTGCCTCTGCTGCAGCTGCAGCTCTCTGTTGCCTTGGCAATACCATCAAGGTCAGTGCAGCAGACGTCAAGGCAAAAGGGGGGAGGTGCGCGGGAGGAGGGGTCAGTGAAAGTGCAGGAGAAGTAGGTGGAGCTGCAATCGCACCTGAAGGGCTGCAAGGTCCGTGTGGCAGCCATGGTGGGCTTGTCAAGCAGATCAGAGCACAAGAAGAGCGACCGGGAAGAGGCGAAACTGCATCGCCGGCACCACCGACCTCCCGAGATGCACTTCCTCCGCGTCCTTCACGAGCACTGGATCCTCCCCTGCATGCGCAAGATGATGGTCAGCTCGTCCCTTGACCCCTCGACCCTCATCTACGCCTGTTGCATGGAGAGAGGCGACCTACAACTCGTCACTTGCGGACGCAGGGGACTTCAACCGCACACCTCCGCGATACTGCCACTGGCTGGCCCCACCCAAGCTGCTCTGAAGCGGGTGGGCACCCAGATCCGCACCCTCCAAGCCGCTCTGAGCGAGCCGGAGGGCAAAGGATTCGGCTGCCCCACCTTGCTGAAGGCGGCAAAGGTCCTGCACGACAAATATGAGTTGTTAGCATCCGCTGCTCCAACCACGCCTCAACCTGCTGCTACTACGCGTTCTGCCGCACCCACCAAGACCGCCTCAATCTACAGCACGACCACCTCAAAACCAACGTGTAGCGACACAACTACCCCGGCCCTCCTGCCCGTCCTGACACTCAAGCAGGTCGACAAGCGCATCCAGAGTGCCATTTGACCCCTCTGAACCGACATTGACACCCTTAAAGCCTCCCTGAGTGCCGCCACTGCGACGCCGCCGACCCCGCCTACCACGCCTCCCCGACTGCTCAATGACGATGTCGAAGCCGGCAACTGCTCGTTCGCGGAAGTCGCGGCAGCCCCGGTCCCCCACTTGATAAGCAACCTAACTCCACGTGGTGTATAATTTGCTGTTTTGCAATTTTATGCAACAAGCCACCTTGTTAAACAAGCCTAACTCTACATGAGGTTAATTGCTGTGTGTTTGCACAGCTCACATCGGCAAGTCGTCACCCTTCGATGCTACCTCCGAGGCAGCTGCTGGTGCTCAATTGGCTTGGCAGATCCGCCCGGACAATCCGGCGCGAGCTCCGCGGCCTTGCGAAGGCAGGAGTCGAAGAGAGAGAGAGAGATATTCTTGTTTCAAGTCAGATCGGGTCTAAGCCCATGAAGACCGGCAGAGGCTGGCTGCCACAGCACATAACGTGATGGATGGGGTATCTACTGATGGGTGGGAGTCAATGAAGTGGACAGATAGGGCGGATGACGCGTCAGAGGTGAGTAAGAGGAAGAGAAGGTCAAGAAATGAGATAGAACGAGGACGATTGAGCGCGGGGCAAACCGAGGCAACTAGACAGGTAGAGGGATGTGCGTTGTGTCAGGAGAAACTGAAACGAAGCAAAAAGGTCGCGGAATGAGCGAGAAACGAGGGTTCTTGGTCTTGATCTGGAAGAGCCGCGGCGACGGGATCCGGCGAAGCCGTGGCGGTTCGAGATGTTGTCGTGGGGGCAGTTAGGGTGCTGGGAAGGCAGTGCGGGCGTTGGAGGCGATTTGGCGGGGTTTTGGGCGAGGGAGGTGAGATGATGGAGTGGAGGAGGTGGAGGGCTGAAGCTCGTGGGTCGCTTGCGTGCTCCCCTCGCGTCTCCTCCCAGCCTTCACTCCTTGTCCTTCTTCTCCGCCTCAGGCGACCTCGAGAGACGCGGGAAACGGCCGGTGCGGTCAAGAAAGTAGAGGATGGCGTCGCGGTAAGAGGGGTTGCCGAGGAGCTGGCCGGCGGTGGGGAGTTTGCGGAGTCGTAGGTGTTGGAAGAGTGAGTGGCGGGCGTCGTTGTAGAGCGGGCATGTGAGAAGCAGGTGTTCCCGCTCTTCCTCCTCGCCGCATCCGCAGAGAGGGTCGCATGCCGGGTCGAACTTGGCGCGGTAGGCGTTGAGAGAGGACGCGCCGGTGCAGAGGCGGCAGAGTAGGGTTGCTTGGCAACGATGGAGCCCGTCGTAGTATCTGTACGAGCGCGAGGCGAGCTGAGAGGCGGCGAAGAGTTGGCGGTCGACGGTGGAGCGGCGCCATTCCTCATCCCACCGCACGCGCGTCGCCTGCTTGTGTGCCGTCCATAGCGCAGACGTGCTAGCGGGTAGCTGAGCCTCCGAGCCGAGTTCGAGCGGGTTGTCGTCGCTGAGCTGTGCGGGGCGGGACAACTTGGCGAGATGGCGGGTTGACCGGCCCCCTCGCCCTCCCTCCTCCCACTCGCTGCCCTCATCCTCTGATCCGCTGGATAGCTCCGCCATGTCCGGTATAAACACCAAGCGGCCCTTCAGGTGCGCCTTGCGCTCCTTCCGCTGCTCCCGCTCGCGCGTCGCTGACTCCGCCCTGCGCACCGCCTCCTTCGCCGCCAGGTCCGCCGCTTCGTTCCCCACGATCCCGACGTGGCCAGGGGACCAGGAGAGGATGACCTGGCTCACACAGGTGCGTTGCAGCTCTTCGAGAGTCTCCCGGATCGCGAGGCGAAGGTGTTGGCCGGATGATGGCGCGGGGTCGGTCGAGTGGGTGAGCGCCGAGGTGTTGTCGACGGACAGAAGGACATGCGAAGGAGGGTCAGCGGTGTGCTGGATGGCTTGGAGTGCACTCCCCTTCGTTCTATCGCACTTCTTCGCTCACGCTCCTACTTTTCCGCTCTACCTCTGCTCTCTCTGCCTCTGCACCACTACTATAGCCTCCCCACATCAGTAGATACCCCATCCAACATGTTATGCGCTGTGGCAGCCAGACTCTGCCGGTCTACATGGGCTTAGCCCCGATATGACTTGAAACAAGAATCTCTCTATCTCTCTCTCTCTCTTGGAGTGCTAGGAGGATGCCCTGCAGCTCGCCCGCGTAGACAGTCTGATGCTGACCCAATCCTTTGCTCCTCGTCTCCCACTCCTCGACTTCGACTTCTTCGCCTTCCTCCAACACGACCTTCGCCCTAACTTCCTGATCTCTTGCCCGCTGTACGAGCAAGCTCGACACGCGTTATACAAACACGTACGCCTCCGACAAACCCCCACAGTCGGCCTTCTCCTCGGCAACGCCGACTTTCGCGCACCTCTCCTCGACTTCATCGCGGCTACGGGCCGCTTCACACGTTTGATGGAGCCGGTACGGGACGAGGAGCGGGATAAGGACATGAGGAAGAGGTCTGGCATCAGCGGAACGTAGGAGGACACCTCAGGGCCCACAACCACTCCGACCCTCTCCCGCTCAACCTCCTTTTCAGCTCTCACTTGCCCAAACCCCCTCGATTTGCCTCGCCCCGAGCTCGACAAGCACCCTACACCTCTGCACACCACACGACCCGCCCACACCCATCCCCACCGTCGTCGTCGTCGTCGTTGCGGTCCAGGAAGGTCAAGATCGAAAATGGCATTATCTCGATGGTTTCTCAACGGTTTGGCTTCGTTCTTCGTTCCTCCTACCCCACATACTCTCTTCTATCAGTTCATCACACCGCACCCCCTCATCTTCACTTCTCCCCATTCTCTCGCACCTTCTCGCTCTCTCTCTTACTTGTCCGCTCCAATGTACTCACTCACCTATTTCTCCACTTCCTACCGCCTATCCACATCAGTAGATACCCCACTCAACATGTTATGCGCTGTGGCAGCCAGTCCCTGCCGGTCTACGTGGGCTTAGCCCCGATATGACTTGAAAAAAAGGAACTTCTCTCTCTCTCTCACGACCTTCGACCTTCCGTGCCACTGTTGCCCTGCGATCCCTGCGCCGACAACGCCTGATTTGCCCATGGACCCGTCGGAGTAGACGAGCAGGGCGCCGATGGGGAGGGACTTGACGACTCGGGCGTGCTCGTACGTGCCGAGCTCCTTTCCGCGGGCGAGTTCAACGGGAGGCCCGGGGTTCGGCGACCATGGCGAGGTTGGGTCGGGGTGGATGGCCTCAGTGCGCGTGCGGGTGAGGAGCAGGAATGCGAGGGCGCGGTCGAGCGGTGAGGGATGGCGGCTGGTCGCGTTGGTGCGGGCACGGGCAGTGCGGTGGTGGAGCGGGTGCGAGGGAGTGGCTGAGAGTGCGCGGAGAGAGAGAGAGAAGTTCCTGTTTCAAGTCATATCGGGGCTAAGCCCATGTAGACCGGCAGGGACAAACTGCCACAGCGCATAACATGTTGGATGGGGTAGCTACTGATGCGGGGAGGCTATAGTAGTGGTACATTGG